TGTTCTGGTCTTTTTGTTTCCTTTTTATTGTCTCTTTTGAATGGTGTGTAAATGTTGTTTACCTCTATGTCCCTGTTGATGGCGGGCCTTGTCTGAATACCAAACGTCCAGGAATTTCCTTACATTTTTAAATTTAGCTTGGTCTGAGATGCTGACAGTTTCCCAGTTGAAACTATAGTTGAATCTGTCCATGTGTTGTAAGATTAAGGGGTTTTCATCATGCCTTCTGACTGGTAGTTGGTGTTCATGGATGCGCTCTGCTAGCCTTCTGCCTGCCTGTCCTACATAGTGGCTGTTACAGTCCTTACACTGTATGTTGTAGATAACTCCTGTTTTTTCTTCTTGGGCTACTGGATCTTTTGGTTTACTTAAGATGTTTAGGAGGGCTTTCATTGGTTTGTGTGCTACGGTGATGCCTTGTGGTTGTAATGGTCTGTTGGCTGTTTCTGAGCTGTTTCTGATGTATGGCAGTGTTATCCTTTTCATAGCTTGTGTTGGTTGTGCTGTAGTGGGTTGAATGATCAGGCATGGGTATCCATTGCCTGGATATCCATTTTGTTGGAAGATGTATAGGTGGTCTGTTTCCTTTTTCTGCTGCTCTGGGTTGCTGCAGTGCGTTTGTGCTCACCTGAATAGTGTTCTTACACAGCTGCTCTTGTGGGAGGTTGGATTGTTACTTTGGTAATGGAGCACTTGGTTAGTGTGGGTTATTTTTCCATAGGCTTGTGTTTCTAATTTGCCCTAATTTCTTATGCTAAAGTGGATATCCAGGAAGGGTAGTGTGTTGTTCTTTTCTTCTTCCCTTGTGAATTTTATTCCTTTGAAGATGTTGAACTTCTGTTGGTACATGTATGGAGTATTCCTGCCTACAAGAGCTTTTCTATTAATTTTAGTCAGCAGATTTGATTATGGGAATGGTGTGAGAGGAAATGAAGAAAGTTCATCACACCAGAAGTGCCTGGATCTCCATATAAAGGCATCTAACAAATATATTTTTAGATGAAAAGCAGAGCCTCAGTTTTCAAGAAGAGGAGAAAGGGACCTTTTATGGGAACCTTGGTATTGATTTAAATTAATGAGATTGCTGCACAATGAATGTCTTCCTGGTTTCAATAAACTATTATTTTAAATGTTCAATATCCCACAACATATCCAACAATACATTCTCAAATCCCAGAGGTGTCAATATCCCCCAGAGATGGAAGATTCCTGTCCCAGAAGCTAATAGTAACAGGAAATTGGATTGACTACCCATTTGCTTATTTACATGAAGGAGAACTTGCCTTTGTGTGTAGCTCTCAAACCTTGAGGTAACAACATTTCCAATGACAATTATTCAGATACATCTGGCCAATCTGCATGCTTAGAGTGATTAGACAAAGACAATACCAGCAGCTGTCAGGCAGTTTTAGTTACATTCCTAGCATATTCCAAGCACTCAAATATCAGAGGGATGAGTATGTTATTGATGTTAGGAAAGCAAAGTTTAAAAATTGGTCTGATGATGATCACACACGAATATGTGGGGCAGCTGCACTTTAATAACATTCTCAAGGCCACTAAATACCTTTCTAAGCATGCTTGTCATTCACACTGCTCATTTAATCCTGTTGGGCAAAATAATAAATATTTCAACCTCATAGTAGTTTTCAAAGGCCTATAAAGGCACCTGGTAGGACTTCCTCTGCTTTCTAAAATGTATTTGGCAACCAGAAATTGGTTGGGGAACAAGGGGAGACACCAATAACAGGCGTATAGTAGCATCAGTATATCTATGTGTTCCTGATAAAATGGAATGATATAGAAGAACAAAAAGAGACAGGTTCATTACTCTGGAAATCCAGAGTGATTTGTGCACTGAAGGAAAAAAGTGTGCAAATTGGAAACCAACTTCTCTTGCTTTTTTCTGGCTGGTGGATGGGGAGAGGAAGAGCATGTTCTAAGAGTTCTAAGTTCTAAGAGTCATCATGTACATGCCTGACTATCTCCATGTTGCAATTTGGTTTCTTCCAACAAAGCCTCCATTTCAGGTGGTCCATGCATTTATTTTTAATACATGCATACATTCCTGTGATCATCGTTCACCTTCTCAAACATACACCCAAGTGCTTACCAAGTAGAAAGCCAAGCTGTCGGCCTGCCCCATTACATTTTTGCCTTTTTGTGGTTGGCATTGACTCCACTCTGTCTGGAGAAGGTAAGCTGAACCAGTGACACCCTTTTAGCTGGGAAGAAAGACCAAAGCCAACTCTTTGGTGTCCTAGTTATAACTATTTTATGAAGCTCAGTCCGGGGGAGAGATTTAATGTACACAAGTGGGTGATAGGAACACAAGACATGCTACAAGACCTACCCAATTAAAACTGACACTTGTGATCTCACTTGGCTTAGTGTTCCCTCCTCCCAGCCTGACCATCAATTAGGGAAACAGTCACCTTCATTCTTGACAAATTACAGACCATTTGTCCTAAGGCCACTAGAGCACCTGTATTCCTTCTCATTGCACTAATTTTATAAGCAATTCAAGGTTTCTGTGGATTAGCTCCCAAAACATGGGGGGGGGGGGGTTTTTTTTTAGCCTGTTCTATTAATCTGGTTCCAGTTACAAGAATTCCTTTAAAGACCATTGTTTTTGTCCAATATAAGGGATATATATTTCAGAGATTTTTAAACCTGGCCACATTTGTTCTCTTTTTCAGCCCTCTCCCCATCCTGTAATGGGATAAAAGAGAACAGCTTAGCATTCCAGGCAGGTATTAGAGCCCAAAAGTTTATTTTATGAACTTCAGCTCAAACAATATTGATAACTTGGCACTGGTTACTTCTGACAATGCTGGAATCGGAACTGCTTTAATAGCAATGAAAGTACTCTATTCATTTTACTGGCATATAGTGCAAAGAGCCAAATGCATTGCAATGGATTGGGGGTGGGTGGGGAGTGGGGGTTACTAAATGGTCACATGGACCATTATCTTACCTACTCCTTAAGCATCCTGCATCTGCATTGTTTTGTCTTGGTTGCCAGACCACATTGTGCACGTGCACTTCATTGAGTTCCTTTCCTGCTGAATTACTTGGTGCCTTCAACCTGAGGTCCAGCCAATAAGGAATTCTTTCCTCCAGAGAACCCTGAGATTCTATGAGAAAAAGCACTAAGCAGTACAGTGTATCAGTTAAGGGACTGGGGAAAAAAAGAACTCCCTCAGAAACTGCTGAGTGGATTCTCTTTGTGAAGGGAGAGGAAAGAAGTATAGATTAATCTGATGGAATTGGAAAGAGAGGTGAGGATGAGATATCTGTTGCCAGCTAACATTCCCCAAATTGAGATGCCAGGAACTATATTGTCTTGTACAGCTACTGTAAAGTTCAAGATTCTTTCCCTAGTAACATGCCTTGTAAAATGGAATGCCCAAATAATTCATCTCAAAAGGAGACACATGGAATTCAAGATGCTCACTGGGTTATCTGGGCTTGACTTCATGCGGAACTGCCAAAGGCTTGTTTCAAAACAGTTGATAGGTATTTTGCTTCATTGAGTTATCCCAGGAAGGAAACTATGTAAGCATTTTATGACATTATGTCTGTCCCTCTCATGAAATATATGATGCTTACTCCAACCCATTATACTATTTTCGAGAGTTCCACGAAGTATTCAGAAAAGATGCTGGCGACATATGGAAGGACATACAAAGCACTTCTTTTCATATTGTTAAAGCAGCTGTGTCATTTGCAAGGCTCAAACAGCTGCTTCAGAAGCTATTCATGGCTTTCTCCACAAGACATTGGTGCCTTTTGGGAACTATCAGATTTGTTTCAAAACGGTGGAGCTGTAACTTTGACTTGTGAAATGCTTTAATATTGGGCTACATTAGGCCGGATATGATGCAGTGTCTAGCTGCAGAAGCAAAAATGTGAAGATATGTATGTGGATTGGATCAGGATTTTCCATGATCTGGAGAAAGGAGTGGGTTTTCTCTTTGTACTTTTATTTGATACCTATTTTAGGACTTGCAGTACAGTTGTCATTGTTTCTCACCCATGTTTGGTTTGAAATTATGGCACTGATTTTGAACAAAATCGAAATCACAATGATATATTCAGTTAGGAATTTGGGATCACAAGAAGGGGATTAAGAGGCTGCAAGAGATCTTGTTGCACCAGGTTGCTTAGCCCTGTTTAATTGCATTAATTTGTAGGTGCAGAAATATGCATATAAAGAACATGGAAGGAAAATGAATGGGTAGCAATCAGAATCCAGATTACTATTAGTTGTAAAATACATGTGACTTTTAACATTATACCTGCTTCACTGGGGTTTAGAACATTATATATTTATGACTGCCTTGTGCTCTTGTTGTAAATACAGATGTAATACTGAGTTAATTATTCTGAGGCCGCTGAGCAACAAATGCTGCCGCACAAATGGTGACAAGGTTGGCCCATGGTATTTGGGCCTGAGACGCAGGATAAAATGACTTCTCCTCCCATTTAGTTTAGAACTGCTGAGTGATAATCAAATCCTGCTTAATGACACTAATGCAACAGTCTCCTCAACAGAGGACAGCAACTGAGTTAGGCAGTGCTGGACCAGCCGCAGCATGTTCCAAATTTAATCATGATTACTACCACTCATTAACATACACTGGTTCCAGCAGACTTCTCATTCTAACAATAGACCAGCCCTG